TATATATATATAATAATAATAATAATGATAATAATAATAATAATAATAATGAGTGCTCTGCCCTAGGGCAGGTCCGTGAGCTGAGTTAAACTCCAACTCGATTCAGGGTAGAAGTAGTGTGAGAGTTTTTCCCATTTCCATTTCACACCGCAGTGCCCGAGATGGGCTTATTATCAATTGGAAACATATTTTTTTATCTATATTTTCAATTGAAAATGGACATCGCGCTGCCCGATGTCAGGTTGCCAGAGCGGGGAATCGAACGCGCGACCCTGTCCATACAAAGTCAGCGCGTTAAAACGAGTCCAAATTATTTATAAATCCAATTAGTATTGTTTGATATAACAATACTACAACCAATTAGTCGAATTGAAACAATTAATATTGAAAATCATTTTTTAGTACGTTTGGACGTTGAACATTTGTCGTCATTCAGTATTTTATACCAAAAGAACATAACAAAAAATGTATATTTTTTATATAGTTTTAATTAACAATGAAACATCCAGCCATAAAAAAATAATAATTAGAAAAAAATAAATAAAATGATTATTCCATCTAATGATCTTTTACCAATTTATAATAATTAATCGAAACGTTATGACAGTATTGACTGTAACTATTAAAAAAATAGAAAAAAGTATATTCTATGCAGTTTGAAAAATATGAGCTTTTAAGTACAACCTAGAGCTTTGGTCAAACAATGATCATTTTTTGGTCATAGTAGTTAATTTTTATTATTTCTGTTCATTTTAACAGGGTAACTAAAATTCTTAATAACATTGCTAGAAGCACAGTCCATAATAATGACAAAATTGCCTCAAGTTTTATAGTATTAAGACTATTTGTTAAACTATGAATTTAAAATTTTCCAAATTTGTCGACTTTGAAAGATACTTTTTTAGTCAAAGTACGTTGGTAAGTTTTAACACATAACGTACTTTAACATATCAACGTATTTTAAAATTATCTGAAAAAGTGTTTTTCGAAGTCGACAAATTTCGAAAATTTTTAATTCATAGTTTAGTCTTAATTTTCGAAATCTTGAGGCAATTTTGTCATTTTTATGGACTGTGCTTTTAGAAATGTTATTAATGGTTCACCAGTTTTTTCGAACAAACATTTTTTTTATTGTTTCAACAGCAACCAGAACTCTTACTTTTATATGTTCTATAAGCTGTTTGTTGAAGACTTATGACTGAACAAAAATAATATAAAATAAATGCAATAACTGAAAAATCGTCACAGTTTGACCAAAGCTCTAAGCTGTACTTGAAAGCTCATAATTTTCAATTTTTTTTTTCTTTTTTTCTGATACGGTCAAAACTGTCATCACGTTTCTGCTTGACTTTGAGTTGCGCGACCTCATGTTTTTAAAAAGTTTATTTAAATTATTTTTATATGATAATTTGATCTGTAATTTATTATTTATTTGAAATACCATTAAAAAACTGTTCCATTAATTTTGCTAATAATTAAATTCTTAGTTAACAATAAAGTTTAATTATTTTGCAATATTTCCACTTGTATTGACATTCCGTATGAAGGTCGTTTAATCGATCGATCGTTCAGGTTGTGGCAATGTAATAACTCATGTACCGACGTGATATGAAACCTGAACCGCGAACTTCAATCATAATACTTACTTCCTCTTATAGATTCAAGTTAAAGACTTCAATATGTGTAACACGCCCACAATATAACAAATTATAAACATGAAACTACTATCACTGATCGTGAGTGACCTTGTCGAAAAATTTTCGTTAAGCCATTAGATATATATATATGTTTTATTACCTAGATCTAGATCAAGTTTAATATTTAATTGGGTTTCTTAGCAATTTATCTCTGAAATATGCAAATTTTTATGACGTGCTATATTTTGGGCGTTGGCGTGCGATGTAAGGAAATAATTTATCAAAACATCCTATAATTAATTCTTTAAACCAATGATCACATAATAATAAATTGTTCAACAAAATGTAATAAAACAATGTCCTTGGGGTAAATTATTATTATTAAATGAAGAACTTTCTTGCCAAATCAATAATCTGCAATCTGGAAGTTTTGTAGGATGTATCAATCATTTTACCAGATATTACTGGTAAATAAATATGTTGTTGACAATCAGATTAATTATAAGTTAGCTAAAAAAAGTTATAAAGTGATACAGAAAATCAATGCCAGTAGAGTAGAGCATGTATGCTTTTTTACGTATTAAATGTAAGAAAAAGACAAAATCTAATCTAAATTTAGATTTTTTTTGTATAGGATAGAGCGAGGCTTAATGGTCCGCGGATAATAAGGTTCACCAAAGGTGAGATATCTCAAAAACCAGCAACGTTACGAATTTTTTTAACAATATTTGAAAGTAGAGAGAAAAAGACGTATAACCAGCCATTACCTTAATTCTCACGACGTTTCTATCGGGAGATGAACAGCACTGCTTCAAAATTTATAACAAAAGTATTTTATTTTGTTAATTTTCGAGACCATAATATTTAAAGTATACGTTATTTAATTTAATACGTTTTATATGATGTATTGCTAAAATTGATGATTCAACGTTTTTCGTAATATAACTTATATAAAAGCCTTACACGTGGGTGGGGTGAGAAGGACCAACTAATAAAAAATAGTAAATTCAAAAGTAAATTATCTTAAAAAAAGCAATTTTACAAGAAATAAATTAAATGAGTAGTTATTCCAACTCCGCTGATGATTATTTCTGACGAAATATCAGATCAAGATTATTTACAGTGTTATCTCTAAAAAATGCATCTATAAAATTTATATTTTGCATTGACTCAATAATATAACTATTATTTTGTAAAATTCCTTCAAAATTAAAATAAGACATTGGAACTGTTTTTTCCCTGGCCGTCCCAATTTACCCCATAGGTGAAACGGACCAGGTTATAAAATTTTGAAAAAAGCAAAAAAACACTTTTCTACAATGATGAATTAGCAGGGTGTTTTACTGAACATAGTCAGATCTCTGTTTGTTTGTCTTATTTGTTGTGATATAATTGGCTTGGTTTTCACAATATAATTGCTCAATGTCAAATTGGAACTTTGTGTCTCGCTCTACTCTATTTATTTCTATCGTTAGTAATTTAATTTCTCACTTATGTTTATTAGCTATAAACAAATAGATTTATCGATAACTTATCGGCTTGTATATATTTCTCCATACATATTCTATTCCCACAATAACTTTCGTTTAGACCAGTTCTTCTTACGCCTTCATTATAAATACCATTATCTATGAATGGAATATTATAAATGTAAGGTTTTTACCGATTCTCACGATAAATTAAATCCAGATGACATTAAACATTTTCTAACCTGCAGGTTTTGAAACCTCGACACTACTGACTTCGCACTACATTACGCTAAATCTTGCCCTCGATGGGTGACCTTATTTCCCATAAGAAACGGACATATAAAACATTATCTGTGTTCAAAATCATTGTGTTGTTATTGGCCTTATGATAATTTGGGCATTCCTAGAGGAATTTGATGCATATGGATGCAGTTTTTCGGAGTTACGGTGGAAAAGCTACTACAAAGCTTATAGAGATGGTAAAAGTCCTCTTGTGGAGGCTAAAAATGAGTTTCTCTTTATATTAAAAAAAATCAATTTGTCCAATATTTTTAAAAAGATACATAACTAGTTTAAAATTTTCAAAAAAATCTTAAAATATTGATTTAAATCGAAGTTTTTTTTATGGTTGACCACGAAGGTTAAGGTTGTCATTTGCTTAAATAATACGTTTTACTACTATAAATTTATATTGTTAAAGCTTATCATTATTATTTATTATTCATTATTTCACTAGTTCGTAAAGTATAATTCGCTTTACTTACATTTTAATCTAGAACTATTATTACATTTTTTTATATCTTTATTAGATCTTAATCCTTCATGGGCCAAAATTTTGTTTTACATTTTAAAAAAATAGGGAAATAAAAAATGAAAAATCAAATATTCTGGTTTAAACGATTTTTTTGGTGCTAATGAATTATCTGACTTTCAAGTCATAGTCTATAATGTTTGCACTTTTGTATATGAAAATGTTAATTCAGGTGTAAAAGCCTAGCACAGGTTTAACCTGTATAACCAATATCAATATATGTAATACATATATTGATATTGGTTGTCTAGATTAGGGCTTCTAAAACTTTTGTTCTTTGCGACCCCATTTACGATTGCAAATTTCTTGGCCACCCCATTTATTATTGCGAGTTTTTTGACGACCCCACACATATAAAAATAAATTAATATTTTTAAATGATTTATTTATTTGGTAATAATGTACAATACATATACATATAAAAATATATAGTTTAAGAATTCGTTGGAACATAAAAAAAACAAGACTTGATGTTATAAAATTATATAAATATTTGATAAAAAATCTCTCGCGACCCCAGAATTTTTCTACGCGACCCCATTTGGGGTTGCGACCCGTAGTTTAAGAAGCCCTGGTCTAGATAACGTTATATAGGGTCCGCCAAATAATTTTTTTGTTTTACAAACTACTGAATATTTTCTCAAAGTACAATCCTTTCAGTTAATAATGAAATTAATTTGGTTAACAATGATTATAATAATTTCATTCAAAAATGAAAGAAAGCCTCGGCTGACCGTTGGAAAAAAATGAAAATGAAAAATGTTAGATGGCATATCCTATAGAATCTAAATTTATGCATCATCTCACGAAAAAAGCCATAATCAATTAGTAAAATATTGAAAAAATTCTAATGTGAACAGGAAATAACACGTGCCTATTGAAAGTATATATATGTTGAAATTATTTTACATTCAAGCAAAAAAAAAACGTTGAGAGCATGACCGTCTGTATTTCTTGCGTATATTTAATAACAATGACAATAAACTCTAAAATATTATTTGTATTTTAAAAATGACAAGTTTTACTAATGAGCGATGATTAATGTGCACCCGTAAATTATTTTCTTATCTTAGAGCTTAGTTATCAACAAACTTGATTGAGAGCTAATGAAACATATCCATTTAAAGATTCTATTAAAAAAATTGAATATATAGTAATTGCATGATCTAATATTTTTGAAACTTGATTGTTGTTGCATTTAGTTTTGGTGAAGATCTCCCTCTCTCTTGTGAGATAAGATGTCCACAACAATAGATACATTTTATTTTATTTTTTTTTTTTTAATTTATTTGAACAGCGATCAGAACTTATGGGTTCTATGAGCTGTTGTGATTAATATCTTACAAACTACGTTTGTTTTATTATAGATGGCAACCCAAACAGTTGTCTCATCTCTATGTGCTGAATTTTTATTATTACAATAACAATAGATACATGTTCGAAATAGGAATTGAATTACGCCAACTATGACAACTTTAGAATTGACCGACTATTTTCTAATATGATCTCCTCGATTTTTACAAAAATATAGTATTTATAAATGAATGTGTCCTAATAAAATTAAATATATTACAAATTTCTAACCTGCCGGTTCGAAACCTCGTCCACTGGTCGCTCCGTACTCCACCTCTCGCAGTTGTCCTTGGTCATCAATGTAACCATATTTTCCATATACTTCTCCTGTGGGATATTTGGATTCTATTTTGAAGGAACCATCGGCGGCTTCGTATCCGTATGAATAACTTCCATCTTCGTTGTGTCTATTTATTTGTTTTAAAATTGGCACTGGAGTCGTGTGAGGCTGTTGCAGCTGAGCTGGAGCAGCCAGGACTACTGGTAGTAGGAAAATCTGAAAGAATAATAATTAATAATTAATCATATAGTAAAACTGATAATAAAACATTTTAGAATATTGTAAGGATGTAATTAGCAGATAAAAATAATATTTTGCGAATATACTAAGAATTTGTTTATGGCCAACAACAGGCGTTAATATTCTACGAATTTAGAGATTCCTAGTTTTGACATTAGTCACTGTCTCTAACTCTTGGAACGATTTCTCGTTGTATTTTTGGGTTTCTATTATCATTGCTACTATTTTTGTATTACTGTTATTATTTTATTTTAATTTCTGGTAATGTTTTATCGTATAATTAGATTGTTTCAGTATAAAAAAATATGTTATTTGCTTTGGTTTGGTTTGGTTATTTAGTTTAAACTAATATGCACATGTATGATCTTTTAATTTTTTCGATGGGTAGCTTTTGTCTTAAGTTTTATTGACAAATATTATAGATTAGTTCTCTAAGAGGAAATTATTAACTTCCCGTAGGGTAAGTTATTGTAATGGGCCGAAAATCGGAATTGAAAATTTTTACATTTCTCGACGTTTTGAAGGTTTCTGAACATTTTGGCATACCTCAGAAAAAATGGATGTGTGTGTGTGTGTGTGTATGTGTGTGTGTGTGTATGTATGTGTGGATACAAATTTCCAGTCACGTTTTAGGGCGCACGGATCAACCGATTTGAATGGTTCAAAAAACATTCGATTCCTATTGATAAGGAAAAGAGCTGATTAGTTTTTGGCAAAGGCAGGTCCAGCCGTTTCGGAGATACGGAGCAAAGAGTGCGGAAAATAGAAATCGAATTTTTGAGAGAACGGAGAATCCGATTTGAATGATCTAAAAAACATTCAATTAGTAATGATTGGGAGAAGTGTTTATTAGTTTTTGGCAAAGGCAGGCCAAGCCATTTCGAAGATACGGAGCTAAATATGTAAAAAATGGCAGTTTTTGAGAGAACTAAGCGTCCGATTTGAATGATTCAAAAAACTTTCTGCTTGTCTTAACAAAATAATTGATTCTGGAAAAAAAAATTTTTGTTCGATTTTTTTTTTTTTTTTTTTTTTTTTTAGTTTTTTGTTGAAACAAATAATTTCAACTTTGCAATTCAGTTTATATAATTCTTATAAATATTAGACAATGTTACAATATTTATAATAATCTATTTGAAAACATTCAGTATTCCTCGAACATTTCGTTACGGTACGGGAAGTTCCAGCAATTTGCCTTAAGGCACGATGCCACCCACCCCACTAGTTTAATATAAGAGATTCTATAAAATTCTAAACATCTGATTCATCTGATATTTTTCTTGCAAAAATTGTGCTTAATGTGATGCATCAGCAATATTGTCATTTCTAAATTTTTTTCACTAATAAGTATAACAATAATGTTTGAATGTATCGATAAGAAAGAAACTTTTGTGCACTAAAATCTATTTAACTATTTTGATTCATTACAATTCTTGTAAGAAATTGCATAAACAATAATTTATTTTCATATAGCATGCAATATCTATAACAACATGAACTACAATTACAAACGGTCCGAAAACATTGCATGCAATTTATTTTGTTATTGTCCAGTTAACATTTTTCTAATCAATCTAAACAAGTAAAAGTCTAAAAATTGGTATCAAATGCAAACATTCACATATTTTGAAATCCATTATATTTTTCTTATAAGTATTGTCCATTGTACCGTGAAATTTCTTTTTTACCAAAACAATCGATTTAAACCTTGATCTGTTTATACTTTAATCCTATTGTGAGTAATTAAAATACATTAAGGGGACAAAAAACAGAAAAAGGTGAATAAAATTTGCCAATTGCTGAAATGATTCGGTAATAATAGGCGATACACTAATACTTATTTAGAAAGTTAAGTTTCGCCCATCGCAACACCCATTTTGTTTTACATCAGCAACTACTATTTCACTTGAATATCGCACTAAATATTGTAATCACGAAATCATGTTACTCAAATATTAGAAATCATTTTTTTAACATTGAGACATTTTTAAAATTGCATCACTACAACTGGGTCGTTCTTAATTTCCAGTTCCGATATTATTGTCTCATATTTGACGTAAATATTTAAATTGCATTCTATTTTATATTTCCTGCAATTACAACAAGTTGGATATACCTACTATTGTTGAATATAAAATATACTATTTATGCTGTTATTTATTTTTTTTTATTTTGATTTTCACTTCTTTATCGAATTATCACATTCAATTCATTTTCGGTTTGTCTATAATTTGTCGTTATTTTATATTTTTATATAAAGTACTATACGCTTCATTTGAGAAGCTTATCAGAACGTGCATTTTTTCAATACTAATATATTTTGGTGCATTTATTATAACAACAAATATCTAATACATATTTTGTTTTTTCTCCCCACATAAACTTCTTCCTGACGAAGCAATATTTTGGTGGTGATTTACAGAGTTTTTAAAACAATGAACTCAATATTAGAAAAAATTCAACTGGAATATCTGATAGAAAATAAACCATTATGTGACTTACTAATTTCCATCATAAGTTCGAAAATAAAGTTTTAGTTAATAACGACAAGGTCGCCAATAAAATAAAGTTGCATATAGGATACCGTAGAAAAATTGCTAAAAATATAGTGGGTAAAATTTAGGCTAATGGAAATAAAAAAAAACATGATTCATAGATCAAATACAAGAAGCAATCATTATGATGAAGAAGTTTTGGCGATGAGAATAATAATGGGTAGTTTTTGATTATTGATGGCTTCTAAAGATTGATTAACTTTCATTGATCATTCGTTTAATCAAGATCTTCGGCAAATGAAAGTAAAGAAATCATGATTACTAATTCAAATATGAAAGAAGCATTTTTTATGATGAAGAAGGTTTGGTGATGAACATAATTACGGGTAGTTTTTGATTGTAGACGATCTTCAAAAACTGATATTAGTTATACAAATGTAAGTGAGAATAATAAATTATCAGGAGTTACTTAATTTACTTAATAAGAATATTTATCTATCTGTCTTCTATCTTAATAAGTTGATAGACATAATTGATGCAAATATTTTAGATTTAACAAAGACTTCTATGTTTTTAACTGCTCATTTGTAAGAAGTTATGTCTAATACGTCTGCCAAGATATGAAACTGGCCCAAATAAAGGAATTTTGTTAAATTATGAACAAAATTAAATTAATTATTTTAAAGTTGTATCAAAATCTCTAATTTAGCAATTATTTTAACAGAACTTATTAGCAAAATATAAATTTTAGAAATCAATAGAAGTTTTAAAAGCGATGGTCAATGCACATATTTATACCGGTGTTAAATATATATTTATTATGTGTTTTTTTTACGATAGTTTTTTTTTCAAATCTAAGTATTTTATATTCTAATTACAGTTACAAACTAATACTGTATGTTGTCATCAAATAATCAAACTACGAGTATAATTAGATATCAATAAGCTATTTTGCTAAATTTCGTAATTAATGTTTTCCAATAATAATGTATGCTATATTATTGATTCCTTTGTAAATAACCTTGGAATTTTCCATGGCTAGATTAAAAAATTTGTGAATGTCCTGTTCTATATCATGTTTTTTTTATTATTGTTAATCGCGATTTGATAATCTTACAAATTTGTTGTGATGATTCTCAATAACGTGGTTTATTAGAAGACAACCCAATGGTACTTTTTTATGAAATTTAAAATTATCACAGTACACATTTTTGTCCCAAAAATTGTTTTCATATTTGTTCAAAGAGCAATATAGTGTGGAACAATTAGAATCTTTCATATATGAAGAATAAAGATTTAGAAGATGAAACTTTCTTACATCAAATTGTTAACTGACTCTAAAAATCTTACATGAGCAGTATAGGCAGATAACCCAAAAAGGGTCGAATAATTTACACTTTTCTTACAATGACGGAGAGTTTTCTGCTTTCATTTACGCTTTCAATAATTATATTACAATTTAATATTATATACTATTATATAATATTGATTATTTGTAACTAAGAAGGATAATAATTAAGGAACGGCATTGGTATTCCTATCTATTATATCCAACGTCACTACATATTGATTGACCATTTCATAGAACAATGTAATATAATGAATTGAAAGTTAAAGTAAGTCAACATTAACTTTTATATTGTTATGCAATGCTTAAATTACTTCACTAATGACCATTGAGTAGTTTTCTATAACCTGCAACAGTTGCATTTATATTGAGTCAAAACATGTTAGAAATATACTAAGTCTTAGAACAACAACTTTCTACTAATTATTGTTTAGTAATGCACTAAATTAATCAAAAGGCACGCCCGTGCGTGTAAACCTAATTAATTAATGCAAACACATTCTGTCTTGAAAAAGAAGAATTGACAAATGATAGAAATTAGTTATTCCGAGCAGAATGTGATGAAATTCGTCGTAATTTTGTCAGCAACATTTTAACTGCAATGAAATTATTTTAAAGCAATGATTGCTATGTGAGTTTTTTTCGAAATTATTTAATAACTACTTTTGATACGATTTTCCTTGAAATACCTCAACTGCCGCAACGCGGTATTTAATAGCTCGGACCACTTTTTCTTCAGATTTCAAAATATCAGTGGAAAAAGCATGAAAAACCAAAAAATGGCCTCGTTGGAAAAATGGTAATTGAATTTTGCAATTGATTTTTTTTTTATTTTTTGTCTTTTTCTTTTGAGAAATTCAGTAAAGAATGATAATTATGATTACATTTAATCATCTTAAAATTTGTAAATTATATTCTAGAACTTAAGGCGTTCCCTGTTGTAACGGTTAATACGCACTACTTTTTTCAGATTTCAAAATATCAGTGGAAAAAGTATGAAAAATCAAAAAAAAACTTCTCGTTGGAATAATTATTGTAAATACATGCTATAAGTAATGTCTTTGTCTTTTGAGAAATTGAGTAAAGATTGATAATTATGATTACATTTAATCATCTTAAAATTTTTAAATTATTTTCAAGAATTTAAGGCGTTTCATGTTGTAACGGTTAATACGCACTACTTTTTTCCATATTTCAAAATATCAGTAAAAAAAGCATGAAAAACCAAAAAATGGTCTCGTTGAAAAAATGATTCAAAATACATTCTATAAATAGAATTTTGCAATTGAATCTTTTTTATTTCTTGTCTTTGTCTTCTGATAAATTGAGTAAAGAATGATAATTATGATTACATTTATTCATCTCAAAATTTT